CCCAATTCGAGCGCGTGGCAAGATGTGATCGTCCGGCGATCGATATTGCTGTGCGCACATCTCGCCACGCGCTCGAATTGGGCGGTAGGCCGGCCTAAGATAACGATTTTTAATAATTAATTACTCGTTAACTATTACGAAAATTGCAAAATGGTACAGGACTTTTCCGTTCATCTCGATCCGTTCTATCTTCTCAAAAATTTTGTCGGATATGGAAAGACTCACCCTGTATACACGTATTTTTATAATTTGCCTCTGTCTTATGCGACGACGATGACTCACTTAGTACTAATTGATAAGGACCCAAAAAATAGGGTCGAAACGTTGTATTAAACAAATAAAGGAATACGCCAGTCAGGTTGACTATAAGTTTTCCGTTTTAATTTTGAATCGTCACTGGTGACTATAAGCAAACTCTCCCTTCGTTATTTATGAAAAACTTTCTCGAGACAGTTTGATAAAATAAATAATCGTTTGTTCATCGAATCCTTCTTTTGCGATGAATGGAGATACCGTCGTTTAAATATTTCATCCTGCATGCCGAACGAATTAGTCCGTCCGATAGGAATGACGATAATGATGCATTGCCCGAGCAGATTCGCGATGAGAAGCGACCTGTTATTAACCGAGGGATGCGCCTTTTCTTTGAGCACTGACGAATTTATGGACGAGCCCATAGCGATGATTATTGGGAGAGATAGTCCTTATATAAAAGTCATCAACGCTGAGTAAGCTAACTTTCATTTTATTGCACATCTCACAACGATAAAGTGGCTACCGATGTAGTGATTCATGATATTCTAAACTTTTTAATAGAGCTGTGCAAATGAAGCAAATTTTTTATGTTGAATCGAATTTCATTATTTCTTTTTCGAGTGAGGTAAAGTGGACAAATTTTTTGCGAATGGTTGAGATTCGAATCGGACCAAATCCCATCCGATTCGATTCGACTCGTATTCGAGTGATTGGTATTTTTATAAATTTTTCTCAATAGTCTTGTAAATTGCAAGTGAATTTTATAATTCTGTTCATGTTCACCGTAAATGTTTGACATCGTTAAGCCATCAGTTCGTAACTATCGCGGTTCGATGATCATTCCGTGTCTGCTGTTTTACCAGAGCCGATAATTATTAACCGAATAAGCCTCGTTATTCAGGTTACACCGCATGCACGAGTCTGGATTAATGAACAAGTGGATATCGGAGCAAATACCGACGAAAGACAAATGCTCGGACAGCTTCAGCCAGGGCGTAGAGGAGCGCAAAGTAAACGTCGCGGATATGCAGGGGATATTTTTCGTGCTTTTTATGGGTAACGTGTTTTTTTCCTCCGTGCGGTACCACCGTACTGGATAGCGGTAATAAACACCTCGTGGGAGTAAAAGCGGCTCCTCATTGTACTCCTTTCAGGCGTGACCGGATCGATATTTCTTTTGTGCTGCGAGTTTTGCTGCCACAAGCGCCAAGTGTCGAAGAGACGCAAGTTGATTCAGCCTTTTGTCTCTTGAGACGGATACAGCGGTGGTTAGATGATAGATTAAACGCTTCTCACGAAATAGCTTCACCGTCGGCTAGCTAGAATATCTGCATGCGCAGTTAGATTTTATCGTTGCTTATGTCTAGTATTAATTACAGGGACCATTCTCGCATGAATACAGCGACTCCTCGAGCTACATGTAACGACCGTTTAATTGTAAATTATGCACTTAGGCGGCATGATTTTTCGACACAGATTCCTTTATAATCATAGCAGACGTGTAATGTATTTCATGAGAGGTAAATTTTAGAAAGCTGCTTGTAAATCGATGTAAAGTATATGTCTTTAGGCTCAATAAAACTGTACAAATTCTATCCTTAAGGCAGAATCCTCCAGATAACGTAATTATATAACGTAGAACTAATTTTAAAAAAAAGTTCCTTTTACAATAGTTTTAGTTACAAAAATAAGATTATTTTCTGCCATTACATGATTGATGTAATTAATTATAAATCTCGGGTGAACGTGAGTTTTAATTTCACACGTGAATCAAATCTCTGGAACTCCGCGGTACGAGGCAAAAAATCCTAAAAACAACAGATGGTTCCTTATTGTACGGTTACGCCCAAATTGATGGGTCCATCTTTTATCGTTCGCACACGAACAGTTGGTGGCTGACGCGAGCGAATCGCGCATCAATCATCGTCAAGCTCGCCATTTGGGATTGTTCCGGCCTGACGCGCGCGTTTGATGAACGACATGGTGAACATCGCGGAGGGGAGAGGAGGATATCCAAATATCACAGAGAATCCGGGAAGAATATTTTTGAATTCTTTTCCGTCTCATTTTTAAGAACATTCTTCAGAGTTAAAAAGATTTAGAAAGAACTTAAAAAAAGCGAATCCCCTTTGAGTTCACCCGCGCTATTTGGGTATAATGCGCGATCGTCTCGCTCGATATCGGGTAATAATTGGTTTCGCGAGCGATACTGAGGCGCGGTGGAACGGAAAACAGGATGGGAAAGGAACGCACGCGAGGATATCGCGCGCTTGGCGTGCGCGGGATAATGATCCGCGGCGTCCCTATTGTTGAGTTCGCGCGCCAGATCCTGAATTCTGGATTGCGCATTCAGTGGCCGTCCGCGGTAAAAGTCACCGCGATGTTACGTAATGCCTCATTCGCGGCGATCCTCTTACTTGGATCAGTCGAAAGCAGATCCTCGCCTCGCCTTCGCTATACGCGTCCGTGCGGCCGCGCCGACCGCCACTACCGTTATCGCGCGCGATAATATCCGCATATTTTCGAAGATTTGTGGCCGGCGCGGATAGACGTGTTGCCGATCGGCGAAGGAGAGAGGAATTTTCGGCTCGATTAACGTAACGCGAACGGGGTCGGCGCACCAGCGAGTGGCACGCGAAGTGAAATATAAAAAACCCCCTCGCTCTACACGAAAGCGTGATAGACCCGCCTTTGATTAATTATAATCGATTTTTTATTACTTAATCCAAGTGACTAATTTACAAGTAACTAACGCCTTTTCCTTGATTTCGACGCTCTAGTAAGTGGCACACGCGAAGTAAAGTAAAAAAAAAACCGTCTCGCTCTACATGAAAGCGTGATGTACCTACTGTGATTAATTATAATTTTTTATTATTTATTATTTTTTATTATTTAATCGAAGTGACTAATTCACCAAGTAACAAACGCGTTTTCCTTAATTTCGACGCTCTAGCGAGTGCACACGCAAAGTAAAATAAAAGAAAAATACCGTCTCGCTCTACACGAAAGCGTGATGTACTTTGATTAATTATAATCGATTTTTATTATTTAATCGAAGTGACTAATTCACCAAGTAAGAAACGTTTTCTCCTTGGCTTTGGTAAATTACATTCATAATTTCACGCGATGCCGAAAATGTAATGATGTACCTACCCAAATGATATCCTGGAGAAGTTCTGTTACGTAACAATATATCCTTCGGCCGGTCGTTCACTGGCATATACCTCCTTCCACGTGAAATCGTAATAATAATCTTTGTCATTGGATTGTGAATAGAGAATAAAAGCACACGCATACGCGCGCACGTTTCACGTTCCGCAATGGTACCCGAGATCATAAACGTGAGCGCAGATGAGCGCGGCGATGCACAGCGGCATACTTTAAGATCCCCTTCCTGTCGAAACGCCAGGAGATAGAGGCCTCTAAAAGAATAGAGAAGAAGAGCGGCGAGAAAAGGAACTGGCGGCCAACTGGGAGGGAAGCTATGTGCGCAATTTAACGGGGATTACGACCTTAGCCACTTAAGAAGTCGCGGTAGTAATCGGCGGTCTTCGAACGGGCCCCCTCAAGAGCGGGCCTCGAGCGGGCCTCGCGCGCCTTGGACGGGCCCCTTGAGCGGGTCTTAATCGAACCACGAGCCCCGGACGAGCTAGGCGGCCTAGCGTACCCGATCCAGCGTGAGCCAGTCCCGACGTAGAGCGCGGACGACTAAGGCTAATCCTAAGACTAGAACCGGCTGGATCGCCGTCGCGAATCCCCGTCTCCGGCTCGCCGCAACGATCGGAGATATCGAGAAGGAAGCAGCATCCCGGAAACGATGGGAAAGCCGTTGCACCTGATTGTAATATTACAGCGTACGTAAGGCTGATTACCTTGACTTTTTATTGCTCTTGAATTAATCCGGCGAAGCGACCGTCTTTGACGAGCTTCAAAGTCCAAGCCTCTCCCTCGCGTAACGAAAGAGAAACAAATAAATATAGGTAAATAGAAATATTTTTATCAATTTTCTTTTACTATGAATTGTACACATATATATATATATATATGCGCACATATGAAGAGATAGTAAAGGTAGAATCCTACAGATTTCCAGAAGAATCACGTTAAAGTATGATTGTGCGGCTCGCGTGAGGAAATCGGCAGCGTTATTCGTGGGAAGACTTGAATCTAGAGAAATAAATGATGTGTAACGCGCCGAATTGGGCAACGTAATGAATTTTAAAGTTTCCCACTGATGCCATGTTGCAGCAGTGTCGTCCGCGCTCGCTTACAAGTACGATCCTTGGTATCGCGCGGACACGCAGCGTCCGGTTGACGTCATCACCGACGTCGTCAACGAGCTCGGGGTGAGGATCCTTCAGCAATATTTGACACGTGGAAACGTCGCGTTCTCACCCACTGGGGTTGCCTTCGTGCTGGCGGCGCTCTACGAGGGGTCCGCGGGCAGAGGAGGTCAACAAATCGCCGAGGCAATGGGCCTGCCAGCCAACAGGGATGTTACCAGGATCGGTTTCAGGGACATTCACCGACGATTGCGAGTAAGACACCTCGTGCAACGTGAATATTTAGATGATGAAGAAATCCAAAATATCTGCCCGATGTCTTGCCCAGATGGCATAAAGGTGAACGTAAGTTCGCAGAGGATTCATTTGAAAGAATACCCGCGGAATTAGAAAACTGAATATCTGAAGAATCTTCTTGAAGAATCAGCCACAATCGGTTCGTCTTGAAGTATTCGTCAGAAGTTCATTGTGGTGCATGTAACTTCCCCAGTCACATCCGGTGAGAAATGATTCGTCGATCGATGTCGAATCGATGTCAATTCGACGGTGTCGATGTCGACTCGACATCGGTCGACGAGTCATTTCTCGCTGGGATTGTATTCTTCTATGAATTCCTGAAGAATTACAGTTCCGAGAGGCGCAGTAAGCTTGAAGAATACTTAGCGAATTCTCTGTGCTATCTGGGTTTAAGCCTGGCTTTTCATTTTCTGGTTAACTGTTAACCAGGCTGTCAAGAGGCAAGTTGACTCTCCATCTTCTTCTATGTTATTATCTAAGAAGAGGCAGAGAATCGACTGAGCTCTGGTTAACAATTAACCAGAAAACGAAAAACCGGGCCTATTTTTTGGAGTCTTTCAATCACGTTTCTTAAGACGAATCCAATACTTGATATTTACGCTTTTCATTATTCTTCATCTCCGAGAAAGAAAATTGACAATCGCTGTAAGAGCGAATTAAAACTAGCTATACACACCGAATTCCGCCGATGTTGATTTCAAGAGCTACCTTAACGCGGATGGCTTCCTGGGCGGGCTGACGCTGAGCAGAGAGAACACCAGACTCCGTCCCGAGTATGAAGACATTCTGAGGTTTTACGGCTTCGATCTGTCGAGTATTGAACAAGAAGCGAACGTTACCGTTAGCAGAGGAGACTCGTCAGGCGCAACCGAACTTCCGACGTCCACGCTCCCAGCAGGGATGATAAGCACTGGCAATGTGCCGGACATTACGACGACGATGTTAACGGGTGCCATCACGACGCTTCCTCCGGCTGGTGCGGAGACAACGGGCGTCCCAACGACCGTGGCAGGCGTTACTCAGCAAACTGTCACGATGGCAGCAACGGGTGCGACCGACGTGCAATCGACATTGACTCCGGTCACCGGTGTCGGAACAGTTGTTCAGAACACGTCGCCGGCAGAATCGGCGAGTTCAACGCCGGCTACTTCCGGCGAAAGTGTCCAGCCGACTCTGCCCGCTGGTACGGAAACTGCCGCGGGTTCGCCGAATACGATTACGCCGATGACAAACGCGGGCAACCAAACGATTCCCACTACGACCGTCACCGTCGACGGCAATCAGGGTCCGCAAACTTCCTCGACGGTCGCCGGCGATACTGAGACAAGTGCCAGCGTTTCCAACGAGAGCGTTCAAGTGCCGACGGGCGCGAGTATGGCAGCTGCGACCGATGCTGGCACGACGGTATCGACGAGTACCAATGTGCAGACACCCTCGTCTCTCGCTACCGAGGTACCAGCGACGGCAAATACGCTGAGCCCGGACTCGCCGGCTACGATCGCCGCAGGCGCGAGTACCGACGCACTGGCGGCTGCGAGCGCGATCATCGATAGCATGACACCCGCTAATACGTCTGCACCAAACGCGACCTTGAGTACCGTTGCCATGAATTCGTTAACCACTGTGGTACCAACGAACCTGAGTAGCGCGACTATCTCGAGTCCCGTTACCGAAACGACGACGACGAACGGCGTTATGTCGCAATCGAGCACCGAGACGACGGATACTCCGGGAATGACCGCTGCGAGTGACCCCGCGATGACGATGGCCGACTTCGACGGCGCTGTCGCAGCCAATTCCGCGACGACCGTGGTACCGCCTGCTCCGGGAACGAACGCGAGCAATCCCGCCGGAAATAACTCCGCGATCGCGAATTCTACGATGGACGCGGCGGACAATCAACCGGCCGCGTCTCTCGTAGACGAAAATATGATTTCGATGGATCGAAAGAGGAAAGATCTGACGGATACAATTAACAGCAGTACCGTTAAAGACGAGGAGTCAACGGACGGTTCGCCGGATCTTCGCAAACGCGAGGCGAGAAGCCCGCGCGGATACTTTTCCAGCTACCCAGGTCAGGTTCAGCTAATGAATGTCTTCTTCGAACAAATGTCGCGTATCGAATCGTACAAACGTGCAAACGGATTCAGTTTTCCTAACTTGTACCGCGGAAAAGGTCCAGTGTATAAATTATTGACAATTGTTATATAAATTATGCAATCATGAATATCAAATTGCGTTTTAGCGAAATGAATGATGACATAACGACAGAAATTATCGTTTATGCTATCTAAAAGTCAATCAGTGGATTTTCACTGAAAACAGCGAATAGTCACTGATTTGCAGTTATAATTATGAGACAGGTTCCTAATATGTGATAGCGGAGTTTCCGCTAAATTAATAGGCATCATCTAGTGATTCCACCATGAATTTATTGCCCTTGGAGTGAAATCTGTTTGGAGGAAAATTGATCGTGTAATCGTTGCGGAAGAATATTTGCGATCGAATTCGAACGTTGAAAACCTACTATCTCATGTTAGATTCCTATCTCATAATAGAGAACTTTCCTCTATACAACTGAAAGTCGCAGTGGTGTACTTAGAACTGTAAATCAGTGACTATTCACTGTTTTCAGCGATAATTAATTTTTAGAGAGATGTCGCGTTTATACGAGAATAATAAGAACCTTTCTCGCTCGAATAGAAAATGTTGGTGATTCGTGGGATTCGATTTCCTATTTTTCAGACGAAGGTATCTGGATGCAGGATCTAGAGATTTGGAAGACGCAGTATAACACGGTAAACCCGGGTGAGTCCTCCATCGGAGATTCATCCGCGGAGATGTCGTTTTTAGTGAATGGCTGCGACATTTCCTCGGTATCGGCTTCGAGATACATCGCCGTGTTGCCCTTCGCGTACTTTCCATCGTTGCAGGCTGTCGCGCTCGAATTTCCTTTGGACGTAAGTCTACGTGAAAATCCGGCGTGATCCAAACCACTCTCTTCAGATTTTGAGAGAATTACATTAATCTTGATTAACGCCCGGTTTCACCAACGTCGCTTAACTTTAAGCTTAGTTCGTTCTTTGTCTCTTTCCAACTGTTAATCTAGAAAGAGATAAACATTAATTAAACTAAGATTAAAGTCAAGCAACGTTTGGCGAAACCGGGCCTCATTAATTTTTAATTTGAAATTTTCGTGATTCTTGAATCTAGAGTCGCACAGTTCTCGTCAAGATTTTAAATAAGCTCAGCTTTGAACTTTCAGCATCTATTTCCCAAATAAAAATTTCACGCGTTGCACAGGCAAAGGAAGAATATTTACTTGAGTAAGATTTAAATAAAATAGCCTTTCGATCCGCGCGCAGTTGGTTCTTGGGAATTAGATATAAACTATTCCAAAGTAGCTTCAAGTACAATTGAACAATACGAAGAGTCTCTGCTATTTTCTTAACAATACAAGGGATTTCTATTATTTTCTTAACACTCAAGGACCCTCGATACAACATTATACTTTTCATGCCCACGGATAAAACGGACACGCATCGTCTGGCGAGGGATCTCGGCGGAAAGTCATTGAGATTGTTGAGGAAGCGATTACAGCCTACTTGGGTCAGGGCCACTATACCTTCGTTCATGCTACGTGGTTTCGTCACACTGACGTCATTTCTGCAAAGGGTAAGCGGACAATACGTCGTCCACTTGGACTCTTATCAGTGCCAAACGGGCGCCAAGTAGAAAAATATCTTCCGGATTTACAGCCAACTAGCCACGCATGTCGTACAGTTTCCGCGGTTCCTCCGTTTTCCCATTTTCAAACACTCTTATCTCAAGGTCCCATTGATCGTGAGAAATTCATACAGATTTGAAACGGCTGTTAGATCAACTGAGTTATAAATTACAAGCTTAACATTCATAACTTTAATTGTCAATTGAGATTGTTAATTATAAATCACCTTACTTTTGTCGAAAATTATTTTCCTAAAGGCATCGTGTAAAACCGAGTACAAGGAAGAAGTAACATTTTCTTAACGTTTCGTGAGTACAGAGGGATTGAGATCGAAGGAAGGAGGAATCAAGATTATTATCGACGTATGCGTGACTAGTGTACATTTGCGTCGACATTTGCATCGTGGTTTACATAATCTCTCTGAGCGGTGTTTTTTTTTCCCTTTTGCCCGTTTCTTTCATGCAGCTGGGAATCGTGGATGTGTTCGAGCCGAGAGTGGCCGATTTATCGCCCATGACATCCGATCTCGGCGTATACGCCAGGGATGTGCAACAGAGTATAGGGGTCAATATAAGGAATTATATGAAACCCGACCGGACCCATTCTCGTGAGTCGCCTAATGTCGTTCCACCTCGAAGGGACTATTATCGATATCTGCCGCCAGGTCCTTTTTACTCTCTTACGCTTTTCATGCACTATCGCACTCTCCTTTCAATTACTCCGTAACGGTAACCGTTTCCACGCGTGTAATTGCATCCCTCGCTCCTTAATGCGGACGTCCTGAATTTAAGAGTACGATTTATATAATTTTGCGCGCTGCGTGTATAATCCTTGGCATTTGCAGTATTCCTTTATTTCTCAATTACATATTTTACTATTTTTTTTTTCCTCCGCTTCTCTCGCCGCTTGTAAATTGCTTCCTCCTGCCTGTAAGTGTAATAATATAGCGCCGTCGGTGCGAGCCGAGTAACCGAGTATCCGTTTCATCTCGAGCAAGTGTACGGGTTTATTTTAATCGACTTTTCATATATTTGACAGTGTCGCATATATATGTGTATTTTACATAGTACTTGCTCTCGTTATTCATTACTTCGTCACGTTCTGTCGTTCCTGATGCTTCCCCGCGATTATATCATTGCTTGACGCGTGTAATCACGGCGCGTTAGAATTAAATCACCTCGAGCAGAGCATCCGAAATTAACGTGCGTCCCGATACGTCTCGGCCGCCCGGTTAACCGGATGTTAACCGACATTGAACGTCGCGCACAGGTAATTTAATTTGTCGCGGAGGTGGAGAACAAACAGTGAGGCGGACGGCGGAGCAGCGACGCCGCGGACTCTCGGGCCCGGGGATAATGTTCGAGGAGATAATTACGTTGACGCAATATCCGGTATTAACGAGTGAAATTACGAAGTTTCACGCGCGCGGCTCGAGTACCCTCCAGAAACGTAATTTGCGCGCATATAATTTGTAAACGACGGCGACAATGCGCCCCTCTACGCCTCGTGAACACGCGTCCGACGACGAGCCAGTCGTTACCACCGCCGCCACTTTACTCGTTTCTTCACTTTCTTTTATCTCTATTTTTCGCTTCCGGCTGATCCGTCGTCGCTCTTTCTCACGTTCCGCTGAATCTTCATTACTTAACGCCGACTGTCGTTAACGATGACGGCCGCTTCCGCGCTTCGAAACGCTGTTGAAGTCGCCCGCGCGTTTTCGGAATTACACGGGGGCGCACTTGGTCCTCGTTTAGGATTGAGAAACTATCGGAGATGAATGTCTAAGCCGCTAATTACGTCTTTACGATAATTACGCCGAGTATTAATTGTTACCTCCTGGATGCATCGTAAAATTACCGGTTATCGCCGTTAGTTTAGCAGACAATTTAGCTAAACGCTTATCTAAAAACGCACCTGTCCCTACTAGATTCCGTGTTATTTATAGGATTTAATCCTGAAAACGTTCGACGCGCGCGATTGCGTGATGCGAGTGAACCGCATCTATGAGTTTCGAGGACGATTAGCTAAGCAATATCCATTTTCACGCCACTGGACGAAGTTTCAAGCAAAGCTATCGATTACTGTTGGAAATATTCTCAGTATTGTTGTTCAGTTCGCTGAATTTAATTGCTGATATCCTGCCCGGGTCCGTAAAGGAAGTCAATAAAAAGACCTTGCGCCATCTCTTTTTACATTCACCGAGGATTCCTGAACCGCTGTGGCGTTGCAAGTGTTTCTATGAAATTTTTCTTTCGGCTATTTTTGTCACATTTTCTTTTTTTTCTTAAATAAATACAAATTATATCACACAATGGTAGAATATTTAAAAGAAATTACGGCTTTACTATTAGACTGTTATTTACAATTTTCGATATAATATTATTTAACTATGCTTCAAAATGATATGGCAGGATTCTTTGTGCGACATACATGTAGTTAATGTGATAGATAAAATTTTATAACGATAGTAATTTGAAAAAATAAAATACCGTTTTTACCGCACTAAACTTGTTCGTTTATCTAAGACATTACATTCTTTTCTTTCGTGTAAAACCCAACTTGCCGTCGTAAAAATACGAGAGCGAGAAGTTTTGTCAACTCAGTGAAAGGAAGGACGCGCGCATTGGAAGTCAATGAACCGAACATCTAGAAATCTAAAAATTTACCTGCAATGCATCACATCTGCCAGTCGCTTCGAGAGCCAAGAAACGCTATTTAAGTCAAAATTTCTCAAACGCGAATTGTTATCGACAATTCTCGTTCGATTTTAGACTGAAGTATATAAGATTCCGAGTTCTTATATTATTTTAAATCTAAAACTGCATAGGGACTTTGCAATTGCTTTAAAAAGATTCTATAAAAAGACATCACTACAATACGGTTTCTTGTCTGATCCATTTTTGTCTGATCTCTTGCAAATTTGCCATATCCTGTTTTCGTCAACTCAAACATCTTCCTAATTCATTAGCACATAGAATAGAACAAACTACTAGCTTTATATTATGCGCAAACTATTAAGCTCTGCAATTTACACGAATTTATCTCTACATATCTGTAAATTTATTTGCAAAATTGTCTTCCTTAAATACTGACGTTGCTCTGGAAAGCGAGTATATTTTTTTATTTCGTTTCTCTTTACAATATATAAAGCGCACACATTACAGAAAATATAAAGAATATTTAAAAAAGGTATTGTTTATATTTTCCGCGACTAAAATAGTCTGTGTAAAGGTTTGAAAAATAATTAAAATTTTTTTTCAGGCAATGGTCTGTTTGAGAGAGCCGGACCCGAGCCCTTTACAGCTTTGCATCCTTTCCTTTATTTTATCGTCGACACCGAGACTTCAGTGAGTTTAATTGCCGGTCGAGTGGACGATCCGCTTAATTCAAGAATATTGTAGGAACGTGATTTACATCGCTAAGATTTAAATAAACACTCATTTATTTGACGATACTTATAAATAATTCTATAATGTGGACTTCTCCTATTAGCTCGCACACAATTATTATCAAGTACACGCAATTAATATTGTGCTCTGTACAAATTCCTATTTGTAAATAAAGAAATATAAAGGATAAGAAAGTGGCGGTGAGCGTAGCTCGAAATGTGTGGAATTGAGCATTTGGAAGAATATTCCAAGCTATCTCACGCCGTAGAGCGAAGGACAAACTTTCTACACTTCTCGCTAATCAATAAAAGCAGATACTTATCGTGCGTTTGCTGCGAAAAACTAATCGAAATCGCGACAGTTATTCACACTTTTCACTGGTTTCCTTTAACTCGAGTTGAACTTCTCTAAGTTGTAGGATCGACAGTCTGGTTTAGAAACTAATTTTGCAACACTAAAACGAGCGGCGTTGTAATTTACGATTCTCTCTTAATGTTCTTTCAATGTATATGTACGTGTGTATGTACCGTATCTCATGTTCGGAGCGTTGTGGCAAGAATGATAACGGTGTATCTTCGAAAACTATCGGGATTACTCCTTTCATCTTTTCATTACACAACTCAGACTTCCCTGGTTTATTTAACTATAGCCTTAATCTAGCAAATATATTATTTCCTTACTTACTTTTATGTATAAATACAGTTCAGTGTGTTGCTATAATGCGCGAGATTTTCCCATACGTTATATATATATAACTTTCGGCGGTGATCTTATGTCACCTCTTTCAGCGCGGGAAATATTTCTTAGCAACCAGGATGTTTACTCCGTGAGTGGCAGTGTAAATGCAAATAAATAAATGTAAACGATATAGAAAGGCGTATTTTCATTTGCGAAAAATCTAGGATAATGTCGTTTGATATTGCACGAGGCAACGTCACGTATCGCTCGTTCGCGCGATGAATTCCGTCCGAATTCGAGAGTTGCCTCGTGTCGTTCCGCCGCGTTCATCGTCGAGCGATCAGACAACGTTCTTCAAGATCCACGGTACGAACTTGGATATCCGCGTGCAGACGCCCGGTAGGTTGGCTTCCGCGCAACCGATGCCCCAGGATATGATACCAGCGAGAAAGTACCTGCCGTCCTTTCCGCGAACCTGCAGAGGCCCTCCGGAGTCGCCCTGTGTAACGCAAGAGCGCGAGAGTCTCTCAATGTTGAAAGTTTGAAACGCATACAGCGAGTAGTTCGATTATAGGCACGCACGTATGTACATACCTGGCACGAATCCTGCCCGCCGGTCTCGTAGCCGGCGCAGAGAAAAATTTCCGGTATGAACTCGTGTCTGCCGGCCCTCAGGAACATCGACTTGCACCTGTCATTGCTGACTATCGGCACGGAGACCTTGGAAGCGAGATTAATGAAAGTCGGAGGAGAGTGAACGTACCCTCGAGGGGTTTTAATCGTCAAGGCAACTCGAATTACCTCCTGTAACACCGTGGGCAATGTTCCACCCTCGCTCAACCTCCCCCAGCCGGTGACCGTCGCGTTCTCCCCGATCAGGAGGTCGTCCGTGGCCGGCAGGCAGATGGGCGAGATGTGCGCGGCGAACGTCAAGGAACTCTCGAGCCGCACCAGCGCGAGGTCGTACTCGTACGTGAAGAAGTTGTACTTGGGATGCACGACCTTCTTTGCGACGCCGCGCTCCACGTGGGGCAGCTGCTCGTGCATCGACGAGAAGTCGTACTCGCCGACTCGTATCCGGATTTGCGACGTCAGCAAACTAAAACGGGCAGGGTGTAAACGGTGCGTCTCTCGAAAGATGAAACGGCTCGGCGTATACTCACTCGTCGACGCAATGACCCGCGGTGGCGATCCAATTCTCGTTGAGTACCGCTCCGCCGCAGCGGTGGGTGCTCGAGAAGCCGAAGAAGGAGGTCCTACGGACGGACACCTGCCAGGGCCACCGGCCGAACGACGCGTCCTTGCCGCCGACGATCCTCGTTTCCGGCCGCGGGAACAGCGGCGGCACGCCGCACTGCATGTTCTTGCTCTCGTCAGCAGCCGCGACCGTCATCACCGAGCCCGTCCCCTTCTCGCTTGCCGCCACCTCGGTGGTCGACGATCCTTGCATCGTGGCGACGCTCGTGGCACTCGTGCTGCTCGCCCTGGTCGTGCTGCTCGTAGTCGTTATTGTTGCCGTCGCGGTCGTTGGACCGGTTGTATCGCTGGCGGAGGACGTCAACGTGGACGGCGTCGTGCTCTGCATTGTGGTCTTCTTCGTGGGCCGCGGCCTGGTTGAAGTCTCCAAGTGGGACGTCGTTATGTAGTGCGCCGAGCCCAAGGGCTTTTGATACTCGGTGCTCTACAAAATGGAAAGGGTTAACGTCGTTGCAACCGAAGGGGTGGCCACGATTAGTGAGGAAAGTGGCGAGCAAGAAAAACACGTTTCTTGCCCAACCAAATACTACAATCTTAACTGAAATTACCTCTACAAGCAAATGCTTATTAGGAAAATCAAGAAAATACAATGTTTCGGGGAAACCTAACAACTCATCATGTAATCGGCGGGACAATATTTTAGCTAGTGGTTACCCCCTAATATCAATAATTAATGAAAGAAAACATGGATGTACCTGTTGCGACTCGGTCGGCTTCAGGCTCGGTCGCGGCGGAAAACTTTCCGGGCTATTCTGAAGTAGACCGGGACTGTCGGTCCAGTGCGGTTTCAGGGACGGCCTAGGTGGTGTCCAGCTGTTCGACCAGAAATGGGAACTCGTACCTAAAGACGGTATTCGTACGGTCTCCGCCACGGTGATCGCGGTTATCGGCTTGGATGACGAGGACGACGAGGACGAGGAGAACGACGTCGGCAAGGACGACAGGAATGAGGACGATGACGGTTTCTGTTTTGTTACGAAGGCCGGCTCCGTGGTCACTTGCCAGTGAGAGGTTTGTGGCACGGATCCGGCTGCGCTAGAATGAAAGATAAATTTTAAGCTGGGCTCGGTACGCAACATATGATATTTTACTTAATGCGATAATGATAGTCCTGTTTTTGCGGGTTGGTAACATTGGTGACGTTTTAACACGTAAAGACGAATAGGACGAGGCAGTTGTTATATGTCGAATTAAAGTGACAACCCTGATCTTCAAAGCCCATCTTTAATTTCTTTTTATTGATGACTGTCAACGTTTTTATGACCAGCCAACTTGAAATAATGGATAAGAGCCAAATACGGGTAATTTTTTGTACGAGTTTAAACTTGGACATAATGCAGCGGAAGCAACCAGAAACATCAACACGGCGTTTGGAGAAAGCACAGCTAGTGAACGAGCAACTAGGCGTTGGTTCGAAAAATGTCGTTCGGGAGATGTAAGTCTTGAAAATGAGCCTCGTGGTCACCCTGAAACGGCCATAGACAACGACGAGCTGAGGATTTTGGTGGAATCCGATGGACGTTAAACTGTTAGAGATGTTGCGTAACAACGAGGCGTCCACTATTCGACATTTACTCGACATTTGAAAGTAATTGGTGAAAGTTTCATTTCAAAAACGGCCGTTTCATACGCAACAGCCTTATATCATTATTATATGATAATAATGACGATAATAATAATGTAACTGTAAATCTTTCGCGCGATAATACAGACAGAAGGTATGGAAAGAGAAGCGATATATTTGCATATGTATCGCTGCTTAAACCAGTATGACTTGAAAACGAGTTGCATACCTGGTGGACGGCTGCCTGGCATATGTCGGCCTGACGGTCGTTGTTGTCGACGTCTTCGTGGACAATACCCAGTTGGGCCTCGAGATAAAATTCGGCCTATGATCCGGCTGACCGCTCACCGGCCGGTAAGTGGTCGTTTTGATTGAGAAGTACGGCTTGGAGAAGTCCGTCGACGATGGCTTCGACAGTGCCGGCTTGGTCGCCCAGTGCGGCCGCTCGGTGTGCACGAAATTCAACCCTGGATGTGGCTCTTTCCCCGTTTCCTGGCGGAAAATCGATATTCCATTAAACTCGCTGCTTGCATCGCGCGCCGAAAATAGCTTTCTTAACTGCATACGTTATAGTTACAGGAATAGTTTTATTAAACTTTTATCAAGTATTCGTCACGGCGTTCCTAATTCGTTAATAAATGGAATAAAGAAAAGAAAAGAGACGCACGTCAAATGAGTTTCAGTTTTAACTTTTATATAACTCTATTGTAATTTTCTGTCAGAATGGGCGTACGAATTTTTGTAAGTTGATTTAAATCGACTCTGGAAATTAGTCCGACCAATTGGAGAAAAGTGAATATATACTCTCGGCGATATGAGAAGAATGTTACACAAGAAATCCTTCGAAAGTCATCTCGCTGAATCACGAGTCATAATCATAGAGTCATCACGCGTTATAATAACAAAGTTTCCTTCCTTACGCTTTCAATGACGGAATTGACATTCGGTCGATTTATCGTTTCCTGCACGCTGAGATCGGCATCCTCGGTCTTCCCATCGTCCGGTCTCGATTCAAAGGGCCTTTGATTGCCCGGTTTACCCGGTTTGCCCTGCTTGTTCGGCTTGCTCGGGCCGATCGAGCCAACGATCTCGTCAGCGGCGTGCTCCTTCCCCGGCAAGCGTATTATCAGCGTGTTGTGCGTCTCCAGCTTGTCCTTGAAGCCCGGTTGGCTCTGAACAGACGACGGCTTCTCACTCAGCGCCCCATCGTTCGGCCTAGTTTTGTGGTGGTGAGAATGACCCACGTGATGACCCGGTCTCTTCGTTCCCTGCGGCCTCCCCGCTGACCACGCGTTCGTAGACGTGGAGGACACCGCGGGGGTTTGCAGTGCCTCGACATCGTGCTCGGACGTTGGCTTGGCGTGCGGCCTCTTCTGCAGGGGCCTCCCGACGCCATGCGAGAACGGTTTCATCGGTCTGGTCGAGCCCGCGCCGAAGCCGTGAGATCCTGAGTAGTGATGGAGATTCGGCTTCGCGGTGCTTGATGCTGTCGAGGACAAGTCCAAGAGGGAAGTTGACGTCAGTCTGATGGTCTCGTTCCCGATTGGTTCTGCCAGAAGTAGACCTGGCCTGAGTGTACTCGTCGTACCGACGTGCTGCTGCTGCTGCTGCTGTTGCTGCTGCTGCTGCTGATGATGATGATGAGGAAGAGGACGGTGAGACGTGCTTATCGTGTTTACCGTCGTGTTGTGAACGCAACAACTGCCGAACATGAAGGTATCCACGCACACACCCACGTGCGTCCCCTCGGACTTGATGCACTCCCACACGAACATGCACGTGCCTTCCTTACTCTCCGAACCGGGCACCTTGCAGGGCTTCGGAGTAATTTTGTAACCTGCGTGAAGTGGAAAAGAACTCGACTATTGCGGGCGTTTCCCCATCCTTCAACGATCGGCGCAGCCCCGGACCTCGGGCCACGTCGATGTTAAAAATGCCGGAGCCGACAAACGGCGAGTATCTCATTTACGTCTCCACGTGCGTTCTCCGTTTTAAACGCAACCGACTTTAATCTCACGTCTCCATTACATACATTTCTCACGTCAGAGTCCGAAGCCGGACGTCAGCGCGTGCAACGTTAAATGCCTGATGAAAGCGCGCTAACGTCGATCATACTGTCTCGACGAAACATTTAACAGCTTATAATTTCGCGAGAGGCCCGCGTTTCTATGCACGCCCTCTGAAAAATCGTGCGAAACGCGCCCCCGGTAACGCGATTACACGCATTAAATCTGACGGGCGTGCTAAAGGATGACGTCGCGTGACACCGTGTCGCGCGGTACAGCACGATAGGTCAGATCGTGCTCGACAATTAGACTGTCTTACATGTTACACATGAGATCTACCTCGCCGTCAAGTTCGGTGAAAGTGTACCACTTGTCGAAGCACGCGTGAGAGATCGTGTAAAAAAAAAATGAAACTTAATAACTGGAAGGAGTACGTAGACCTGGGCCGAGTCATTAACCGAGTCATGGTAAGACTCGGGTAACGTAAATTACGACCGCGGCGATGTAGGAGCTTCACGCAGTCGCTTTCACCGCTAGAAACACGATCGTGTCGGCCTGCGTCGCGTTACGTTATAAAAGGGGAAGCGTTCGTATCAGGAAGGAAAATTTTATCGCGGCTTTGGAGTGTCGCGCCTCTGCGGCACGACGGTTCGACATTCGAAGACCGATCGTTGGATCTCGTTGCAAAAAGTATAAATTGTGCGAGTCACGTCCATCTCCATCAACGCGGATTAACATTGATCTCGGTTTAACTTACTTTTTATCTTCATCTAGTTTCAGGAATTGGAAAAAGGTAAAAAAACTCAGTTAAAACCTTGGCCTTAAAAAACCTAAACTGAAAATTTTTATTTAGAAAACTAAGAAATATGAAGAGTAAATTTGGACACTGTAAACTTGTATTTAAGGTAAACTTAAAGCCTACTTTAAGAATTTAAAAGAAAGCTTTAAGAATTGTGAAAAGTACGCGATACAATTGATAATATCGCATGCGGTTTTCTTCTTGCGAGAAAGTGCTATGCCGCGCGGCCCTCTAGCGGGAACTTCGATAGGCTTGGCCATCTAAAATTAACTTTAAGTGTCCAAAGTTACTCTAAGATTTCCTGAGTAAACTTTTAATCTCTTTAAGTAAACTCTTAGATTTGAAAGATTACTGTTGGAAACTTTAATTTCATTTAAAGTAAATCTACGCTGGTAGAAATGGGCATGAAACACCGCGTCGCTATATACACTTGAAATTTATTGTCGATTATTCCGATTGCGGAATTGCTGTGCGGAGGGTGCACGACTCGACTCGAACGACACATTTTCTTCCCTCGCGAACGTCTGGAGCCGCGTCTTCGCCGGCAGAGCTCACAGCTGACTGCGCGGGAATTGCCAATTATCTGGGAGCGAGGGGAAAAAAAATAATAGCTAAAGAAGAGCTTCTTCTCCCTTCGGCCGGGGACTCGTCGAAACAAAAAGAAAGTAGCGCCTTCTTTCGCTTTTCTTTTCTCACGCTCATGCACGACCGACTGCACCTTGACCGAGTTCTCCTTCCAATTAAGCGTTATACATTTAAGGAGAACCTTCGGCGGGAGAAGGATGCCGCGCAAAGGGAAGACGAGCGCGAGAAAAAGAGGAAGAAACAGGGAAGAGGAGGAGGAGGAGGAGGAGGAAGGAGGTACAGCAGCTGCAACGCTCGAAAGTACGTACGGAAGAGACGACGCGCGCGAGGGAGAGACAGGGTGGGTGTCCGCGGCCGAAAAAGACGCGCTACAGGGAGCATCCGAGATGCGGCCGCGCGTTTAAATCAGCAAAAGAAATATTACTGACTGTGACCTCGATTCAGCGTGCTGAGAGACCTGGCGATGCCCGACCACCAGAGAATCGTGGCCACGTAACCGATCCACCGCATCCTGATCCCTGCGAACAATAAGAAGCGTTATCGTTAGTCCGGCGTGCCGATCGGCTATCGTCCGGTAGCTACTTATCGTCGTCACGTGTCAATTTAGAGCAGCGCGCGCGTCCCCTCTCCGAGAGCGCGTGTAAATCACGGGGAGTCACGCGAGCAGCGCCGGTGCTGTTAACAGTTAACGCGTGCTTCTCGCCACGTCGATTGCGGCACCGACAGGCGGTATATAAATTTTGTAATTCTATATATTAAGAGCTTGTCAGCAGCATGCGAGCGTCTAACGCTCACTCTTTCGTCGCGTCCATTGTCTATTGTCTGCCACGTCTGCGCTCCTTTCTAGTTCACTTTCCCGTTGCACGCTTCTCGTATTAACCCTTTCAGAGACGTATCTAATCCCACAACCGCGTGCTTTTTCTCTCTCTTAGTGAAACTACGAATAAGTAAATCGTTACGGGCGTACCGCAAAGATCGTGCAACTAAATATCGCAATTTCTTACGTATCTTCCGCGCAGGTGAAATGTATTTTAATTTATATAATATAATTTATATAATATAATTGCTTACGGGAGAGGAATTCACGGGATATTAACTGCGTGCTTAAAATTCCAGCGATATGTATTTGCTTTCGATGTCTTTTTGGGAACGATGAGATGAGAAGAGAAAGGTAAAAGTAACAGGCTAAAGTAGAATTTGCGTGCTCAATACTAATAAAATACTCGATTAAAGTTTGTTTACAGTTTGATATTTTTCATCCGATTTATCTTTAAATCGAGGAGAAAAGCAAGCATTCAAATTGAGAGCAAAGACGGTTATCGCTCAGAGTGAGAATGGAAATTTATATCTAGTAAATTCCACTTTGTGGATGTCAGATTCAACACAGATATCTGATATAATTAAGCGAATTAAAAATAAATCCGATCAGCTTCGAACCTTCTCACTTTATGTATTTCAATTTTGATCGGTGTAATGAAATTTTTCCGCCCATCGAACGGTTTTTGCAGTTATAAAGCTTTCGCGCCGGGCTTTTCGTGTAATTTAAAAATTAACGTTACAAAAACGCAGCCGGCGTACATGCCGCCGGCACGTGCATTCTATAAATCCATCAGGACGTTCCCGAGGGCCCGGAGAATTCTTCATTTCTTTCTAGTCTATCGTTTTGCCGGCAACGATTTGAGATCGACGACGCGATGGTATCTCGACGGCGCGACAGGTGCATCGGACGCGCGCTAAGACGCGTCGGCAGGAACAAAAAAGGTACCCTGGACCGACTTGTCACCGAATTCTGGCCCAGCATTCCAGGTCATCGACGCAGCGTCGCTCGCTTTCGAATGCCCGATCGAGGATACCATCGTCTTGGAACTGTCTCGTCATCATCATCGGAATTATCCTCGCCGATGTTACGCGTTTCGAATATTTCTTGCATTCTTGGGAAGATAGGTTCGACGGACGCGTAAAAGTCGTCCGAAAAATCTAAAAGTGTCTGTCCCCATATACGTATATAATTATTCCCGTGTCACGTGCTATCTTTGTCGTTCGCGTGTCTCTTTCTTGGCAATTTTTCACGCGGATATTTCCTCTCGTATAAAACTCAATTTGTAAACTTGGAATCGGAGTATGACGAATAGGAGTCGTATTCCGTGTGCGACTCTGGCGGGCGCGTCGCGTCTTGCGTAACTTTTACGGATATAAAAATCCTGGATGCGCGTCTTGGGTAACTTTCTCGATATCTAGAGAAAACAGATGCACGCGTTGGACACATTCTGACAAATCGATATTCCTTTTCCTGCCGCAATTTATACATTCACATTTCAAGCTTTTACACCTAGATGTTGCAGGCTGTTTGAGATCAAACAAGTTAGTTGAAATGCACATGAAATTTTGTCATCTTTCTCAAGTAGTTAAATTTAAATACAAGTGCTATGCGCGCACGTTGGACTTGATCCTCGGCTTCTTAATGTAAACGGCCGTTGTAAAATCGGGTCTACGGAGACTACTTCCACGTGCTCGAGACAGTGCGCTCTGGGACAAGGTCAAGAAGCAGAATATAGAACTGTCGCTGGCCGGCCGCGACTTCTCTCACTGCACCGGTAGCTGCGGTCGCTGCCACTCGAGGCAGAACATGTACCAAGGACGAGCAAGAAGAAGCGCCGGATGACCCAGTGATCGCGGATTTCAAATCGCGTTTATCGATCTTTTCATGACCGCCGGATAGGAGAAGCGCGGCAGCGGATGTACCCATTAGCTGAAATAAGCGCTCGCTCGAGAGCTCGCGTGTCGAAGGGGCTTCGGAGGGAAACGTGTGATTCGCGAATTAATATTTATAACGATCAAAATCCCCGGCTCGCGAGGCATCTTTCAGCCTGCAGATAAATGCGCTCGAGTAACGTTGTTCGAAATATATGTGCGTCGGGGCCGTAAAATTATGCAGCTCGTAAAATATGTTTCTGCCGTCAGCGCGCCGACGTTAATGAAACGAATATGAATATGAATAAGCCACGCGCGATTTACGCAGCCGCATCTCTCCGTTGTTCAATTAAAATATTTAGAAATGTGAGAACGCGCGTGCAACTCCAACGCGCCCGATCGCTCGATTTTTATACCGGCTCGCAAGTCGTATATTTACTAACGTCGGATTTAAAGGCGAATCAGTCAAGCGCGGGTCCATTAGCATTCACGGTCGTGACGGGATTTCGTAATGCCCCAGGATCTCTCCTCCGTTGACTTCCCAGTTCCCAGGCACGTGCCACGTGACGCGTGAGATGTGTACACGACTATTTCAAAGAGACACGCCGTATACCCTACAAGTCTAACTTATAACGTAATCCTTTATCAAATCAATAAAATTCACAAGGCTCTCGTGTGGTAAACACCAATTCGAGGGAATAAAGAGCCGTGACAGAATGTTAGTGTTTAAATAATTAAGCTCTTTAGTCGACATTAACCGACCAGTGTTTTAATACAGAAAATTTATTGCGAAAAATATTATCTCTAGGCGGGCGTCTCAAGTGGTCGAATTGGTGAAAGTAGAGAGTAGGGAAGTCCAGGTTCGAACCCTGGCTTAGGTAATATTTTTCACCGCTGCTTTTTTCGGACGCCACCTCTCAGAGCGAAGTGGCAACCGAAAGTATCCCGCCACACGTACCCCTTTAAGGGTATAGTCCTCCAGGTTGGAGGTTTCCTTCGGCAAGGGTTAGCAGCCTACCGAAGATGAAGTAAATCCAAATGCTCAAAGTACCAGAACAAACGGGATAAAACAAGCTTTAAGCCTAATAAACAAGGAAGAAGTAGAAGAAGAGGAAGAAGAAGAGATTAAGACCCTCTTTGTTCCCTGGACACATCGATGTACCGCGAAAACAGAGATCTCGATTAAATTTTTTTTAGTACATTGTACTTTTAATACCACATTATAGGAGACTCGCTACAATTGACACTGACAATGAGCAAACTACAGTGCTAGAGCAATACAGTCATGTTACAAACGCAGCAAGAGCAATGGCCAGTAGGCGCAAGCTAGGCTCCAGTGAGTAATAATCGACAGATACGGGCACCAACGTAAATTGCAACGTAATGGCACATACCCAGATAGCACACACAGTTCTATGAATATTCTTCTGGAGTGCAAGTATTCTTAATTTCAGAATATTCCAACCAAATATTTTTTTAAATATACAGAGATTATTACAATTAGAAATCGTATGTTCATAACGAAGAAGAGCGTTTTTAGAATATTCGTTCAGGATAATTTTCGAATATTCAACGAGTTTATGTATTGCACATTGTTTATTGCGAAATACACTTATCTTATGCAAAAGGCAGTGAAACCTGTGATCATACCATATATAACCGACACGCTATAATCGCTAGATTATTTTGTTCACCTTCGAAAAATATTTATAGTAGTGCCAGCCGAATATTCCACAAGCATAAAATAAGTATATAAGAATGATCTATGGAATATTCCAAATATTCTTGGAAATTATTCTTAAAATGTTCATACAAGTGTCTTGTGCTATCTGGGTATGACGAACGAGGTCGGGCGCGGTAAAAACGCCACGAGTGTCCTGTCTCGTGGTAAAAGGCAAGAGCGTGTTCATTGTTTGGGATTATTTCGCGTCTACGTGCTCCTCGAGGAGAGCATTCCGCGGCGGTAGCCGCGTTCCCGACGCACGTCACCTACCAAAGAAATATTCCGTAACGACTAGCGGTCATCATAGTTACTCGTCTTCTCTCATTTCTGCTTAATCGTTCGCATCCGACAGCGAATGCATCCCGAGAGTCTCACGTTCGTAACAAGTTCGCGCGACCTATTCGCGTTCCGCTCGCGACCGCGTGTCTCGCGTTAAAAACAAATGTCTAAAGAGAGAATTCACAGCGCTGGAAGGGGACGAGGGAATAAAAGAGATCGATCTTGCAATGCGATTAGATCGCTTGCATCGCTTTAATCGCTTCAATTAATTTCGTCATCAGCGTCGACTCGCTTCGATAAAAAAGTGTGCTGAAACCTTGCAATGTACTGTTAAAAGTGTGACGAAAAATCTTTGAGGGAAATTGATCATAAAATACACATCGGACAATCGCGTTACAATCTAATTTTGCATTTCTTAGAAAATCGCCTCTTCCCTGCCGGAAATAATTCTACTAAATTTTAGAAAAAAAATATACTGCCAGAATCTAAGAAATTCTATGTAAATTTAAAAAGTGTTATAAAACAATCAACATGAAATTGCTAGAATTAGAAAAATTTTGTTAATTTTCGTAATATTCTACAAGCAAGTGGATGTTTGAATTCTTTAAGATTTTGTTGTTTCTCAAATTTTAAAAACTAGTAAAGTTTTGTACTAATTTTTACACAATTGTACATTTTCGTGAAATACTACTTGCAATAATTTCTTGATTTGAGAACATTGTAATTTGTGGTACTATTTCGTAGATATTTTTACAAAAAAAAGTTAATGTTTCAACGAAGATATAAAAATTTCTACAAATTTCTATTTCAAGTCAATGATTTGTAGTTTCCAAATTTACAAAAATCTTGCACGATCTTCTCTTAAAACGGTGCCTATGCGCTGTTGATATCAAGGCAAGCTGCCTTCTGTGCCAGTGGTGCGATATATATGCATCGTAGTTATTTTATTTCAATCGTCGCGGGTGAATGATCATCAACGCGACAAAATAAAATCGCGGCAGCGAGCGCGCCGCGGCTCTAGCACTGATTCAGGAAAATATCTCGCCGGCTGCTCAACGGTGCTCACGCCCTCCACGTGGAATTGGGTTCTCCACACGGCGCTTTAATCCTCGCGTAATTTAATTTACGTCTTTCCCCGGTACGTTCAAGCGGCGATGGCAAGTTTAATGAGCGGGCGTAACAGTTCTCGCAGGAAATGGACGATGATTAGGGGGAGTAACTGAACGCGGTGTGCTCGCGCTTGTGCGGCTTCGCGCCGTGAAGATATTCGGTCCTTGTTCCGGTGTTGCTATGGGAAAGATTTTGCAAGTTTCGCGACGACGGCACGGCGGGGCCTTTCGTCGGGGCGCGATTATCCGCATTGCTTACCCGGTCTGAGCGATCAACGCGCGCGTCGCGTGATGATCGGCGTCGTAACGCATCGACGTACCGATGTGTCGAGGAGCGATGATGGTGCGCGAATTAGAGCAAATCGGAACGACGAGAAACGTACGTGAGCGCCTCTCTCTCTCTCTTTCTCTTGCTCCACGTGGTAGGGCAACAGACTCGAGCGGCGCGGCCGACAAACCGGCGGCGCGAGCGTTCATCAAGCGAATGTTTTCGCCTAACGATGTACGGGCGAGCAGGTACGACATTGCGATACGCGTTAATAACAGGTAGAGGCGGTGGAACGGGGGTGTCCTGCCGGCGATATGCGCCACGTGGGACGTGGGTGGGACGCGGCGGTCCGGCAGGATGCGCTTCCATAATCCAAGGTCTAGGCGTCCCGTTGCACGGAGGAAGCCGAGCGAGGAACGTGGAATGGGGAGCGCCGGCAGTTTGATAAAAGCGCACGAGGAGGAGACGAACGGTCGTGCCGCTCGGCTCCGCTCCGCTCCGCTCCGCACCGCGCCGCGCTGTATTGCCGGTACCGGTCCGGGTCCCGACGCGATGCCGGTTTGGATTCGATCCGGCTGCGATTCGATCCGACTTTACGCGAAAAAGCAGAATCTTGTGGGCTCGACCGATACCGATCGCCCCGGAAGTCTCGGGTCACCGCAGAGTTCGGCCGCGAGATTCGGTCGGGACAGACCGAATCAGCTTACGAACGGTCCAGTTTTCCTGGATATGCTCGAATTTAAAGTGAACCAAATGTAGATCTCCATTTGGTCCTAGCGTATTAACCGCAGACTGCTTATGAGGCAGCTTCCCGAGGGAAGAGGATAGTACGCATTTATTTGGGCGTCTGTCTTTCTCTGACTCTCGTGATTCACACCCACTTAGGGCTCCACTGCCTCATAAGCAGTCTATGATTAATGTGTCTGTACAGGATGTCCCAGGAGGACAGGTCAATATTCTGGGAGGTGATAGTATCGGTCGTTTTAAGCAAAAATGCTCATATGAATATACGTCCCATTTCCCACTGTTTCTGAGATAGCTATATTTGAATGTACAGTTGCAAAGTTACCGACAAGAAAGAAATGCTACGTACTGTTTCTAATATTTATCGTTCAAGTGATACATTTTCTACAGATCATAAGCGACGAAAGCGTCGACGGTATTCTTCAACAGCAGCAGTAGCGCTACCGTCACAGAAGCCGTGAACTGTAGCATATCTGCGTATTCGACATTTGTGAATATGCGAGGCATTTTGAACATTTCTACAATGTTATAGGCTCTACAGTCATGTAAGAGTAAATTCCCGCAGACGTTTGTAAGGTCGGATGAAGGGTGAAGTGTACAGAAAGAAGTAAAGACACGAGACATTCAAGTAGCTTTATCTCGGAAACAGAGGGGAATGGGACATATATTCAAAGGAACATTTTTGCTTAAAATGACCGATACTGTCATCTCCCAGAATATTGACCCTTCCTCCCGGGACATCCTCTAGATCCTAGGCGATCGCTCGTTAGGGCCTTCGGCGATCGAGAGACTTTCGGTGATGCAGAAGGTATCTGTGAGCGAGTCTCCGTTTGCGCTAAGAGGAGAAAACTCGCTGTCGTCGCGACGATCGTAACTCAGGCGTCGAATGACGGACGCGACGGTGGACGCCGCGCAAGTATTCCGGAAGTGTGACAACGGTAATGGATAACTGGAAATCGCGCGCGCCATCGACACTACGGACGACGTACCCAGCACGCGGTCTCGGCGATAGCCGAGAATATCTCGGCTACCGTCCCATCCGAAGTCACGTTCGACATCGTGACGGTATTTCAACGGCCACTAGATAGATCATAGCAGCTGCACACAGGGATCACAGCAGCCGTTTACGCTTTAACGCCTCTCGATCGCGGCTGCCCGTAACACGACTTTCCGCGGCAGACTTGATATGGACACCGCGGGATAGAGTCCCGATCAGTTTTGCAGAAACCTGATTGAAAATCCTAATCGAAAATCGCCTGACGCTAAGGTCATGAAACGCCTCATAAGCAGTTTATGGTTAATATGTCTAGACAGGGTGTTCCAGGAGGAAATGACAATATTCTGGGAGGTGATGGTATCGGTCATTTTAAGGAAAAACGCTCATACACTGAGAAAAATGTCCGATTAAATATAATTGGATAATCCAATTACATAACAACAAACGGATATATCCGATTACATTGTATATCCGATGAAATATGTGATCGGTTTTGCAAACAAATCTCATCGGTAACAGCATTTCAACGGATAAATTTTATCGGATGTATCCATAATTTAGTCGGAAAACGTAATCGGAAAAATTAACCATCGGAAACACTGTTTCATTGGTTTATCCGATGAAAATTTTTCTCAGTGTATGAATATATGTCCCATTCCCCACTGTTCCCGAGGTAGAGCTATACATATTTACCAACTCGCTGTATAATTTGCTCCGGTCCCCTTTGATATAGCTTCGTTGAATTTACTCGTGATATTAGTAAGACACGTCAGTACTGTAAGTTTAAGTGATCAGTTGTAACAATCGCAGCTATTCTTCAAGTAGCAACACGATCGTCCCGCTTATGAAGCGTGTCGTTAGGATTAATCTTTTCACTTTGTTAGTTTAGTGGAAAAGAATTGTGTATAGAGTTTTAATTGGCCCTAAATGTTTAAGAGGCGCACTCCTATCGACGAAACTTTAAGAAAAAGTATACGTCCATATAAACATGGGTCAACGCTTAATTTCTGAGCAATAATGTAATTAAACAATGTACAGTTTAACAGAAACAAGGGAGAATACCAGACGGGACATTTTTTTAAGTTGCTAAAGGTTTTCAAGACTCTTCCAAAACGTGCAATAATTTTAAAACTAACCGTTTCGAAACGTTTATTATATTTATATCGACATTAAAAAAATGTTTGGTAGACGTAAACGCACCCCTAGGACACTAATTAATAAAAAAAAAACATGTATAAGTACCAGAGTCGAAGTTTTAATCCTCTTATTAGCTTAGAATAAGGTTAAACACAATTGTTTTACTCATCTAGGCCTCAAATTGAAGTTTCAAACCGACTCCGAGGTCAAAATGAAGACAGAATAGTATAATTGAGGCCCATTCCGGGACCAAGTACTCGGCTCGGGTAATTGGTTCAATGAAACTAATTATTAAATCTAAATGCCTGTCTGTTAGTTGTAATTCGTGTCGAGCTATGTTTTCCAAACCGCAGCGATACCTGGATTGCTCTCGGACCGGACTGGTCCGCTGGATTTGGAAGTCCACGAGTCCTCGTAATCACTTCATCCGCGCACACTTGGAATCAACGTATCCTCGTGACTCATCTCGTACCCCGCACAACGACAGCCACGACTTTCCGACGGCATGGTCGCACCATGGGGAAACCACCATCGTGATTCACCGTGATTCACGACGTGGATCAGCCTGGCCGAGTTCGTCGGCGCCGCGCGAAGGACCAGGACCGCGACTCAGCTCGTCATCCTGGCAGAACCGATCGGGCAGTTGAAAAAAAAAATTAATTTCCTAGCGTCGTCGGGGATGAAAGCTGTGCGGATTTCAGGCGGCGACGATGTCTCGAATGAGATTCGACTCGTGTGTCGGATAGATCGACTAATTGTAAGTGGACCTCGAGATGCTCGATCGTCAGCGTTGCATCGCAACGGACCCCGTCATCGATCGTCTGACCGCGCCGTGTTAGATTAGAAACGCACGATTCGATCGTGGAAAAAGAAAAAAGATTTCTGCGGCAACACCGAACTCCTCTACGATATCCCGACGTGGACATCCGTCGCTTCATCAGGAAACCATTGTTCGCCGTTTAATTCCGCCGACGTGCATTGTCTCGCGTCACGGCTGACGTTTCTTCAAATTGCTCGGCGCACTCGTTAAATAAGTAAACAAATAAATAAGTTTCATTTTCAATTTCTTCGAATGACGTCGAATCCGCGGGTCCGCTGGGAAACCCAAGAGTCCGATCAGAGGCGGGAAACGAGACGCGCGCGCGCGTGTGCGAGGACAAATCGGCGAACACCGAGGCGAGCAGCGAGGACAGGAAATTCGATCGCGCGCGCGGCACTAGAATAGAATAGCGGGTCGAAACCGAACGGTTGAGGTTTACCCGTGACGGACGCCGGGCTGGTACTGAACGGCTTAACCGGTATACACAACCACTGACCGTCATCATCGCAGCCATCACCGGTCTCTCCCTCTCGTTCTTTCTCTCTACTCCTGTTTTTCTTTCCCTCCTCGCTGTTCGCCGTCTCTTCTTCCCGCCGTGCCTTCGTCCACCGCGTCTTCGTCCACCGCTAACTATTATCGCCACCGTCACTCGACCTTCTTCCAGCGCGCGTATCTCTCACGGCGATATCGTCTTCGGGACGCTCAAGGTTACCGGTGAAAATCGACCGCGGGCCGCGCGCGAAAACCGCGGTGGGACGCGATTCGAGCGATAATGGGAGGCTAATGGGAAAAACTGATTGCGAGGCGTCCCCGATATCGCGAGTCAGGACCCGGCATCGCACTTGGAAGGAGGAAGGGTAGTAGCCTCTACGTTACTTTCAGCTTCCGCTTCGCTACCGTTATGCCACCGTTGAGGGGAAAGGGATTGTTTTCGCTATTATAATAGTTACTGCCCGATACATCATGCACCGTAGGCTAAGAACGGCATGTCGCGTGACTCGTTTGACTTTGCTGCTTTCTTCGTGGACATTACAATGTGTCGCTACGCTGCTGTACCGTTTCTCTCTCTCTGCATTCTGATAATATTGCTATAAAATATACAAATTAAGAGACGCGGTAACGAGGACTGCCATATGCAGAATTCTTGTTCCGTTCTCGATTAAGTGTACACTGGAAGCGGGACCGGGAAGAGAAAATTGAAAAGTCAAACAAGCACACGCGCGATTGTCGATAAACAGAGACCGTACAAGAATTCGTGGTAAATACATTTTATCCCTGTGCATCTTTAATTAGCCTCAAACGATCGGCAGAACCTCGGCCGACTACCGCAGGCGCGTGTACACGTGGAGCATCGCCGAGACGCGACGTGGGGAAAATACGGGGCCGATTTCGGAAACGCGGACATACGAGACACCGTTTTCTCTCCGTCCCATCCGGGGACCGTAGAAACCCGAGCCGTGGCGTGGCGAGAAACGAGAATGCGGCACGGGACACGACGTGGACGGCCGCGGACGCGACGACCGGTGCGGAGAGAACGGTCCGGCGGAGGATGGGAAAAACGGAATGATGAGGAAGAAATTGAGAAACCAAGTAAGGGCGATTACACGCGTGACCGTCAATGAAGATTGTACGATAATTCGTCGTTAATCTGTCGCTTCGAACGGACGTGCGCGGTCACGTACGCCGGTAGCGTTATCCGAGAGAGAGAGAAAGAGAGAGAGAGGGGGAAGAAAGAGAGCAATAAGACTCCTGTAGAATGGGATTCGAAAATTGCCCGGCAATTTTATCAATTGCAACACTGCCTCTATGCGCCTAAAGGATTTATCTCGACGAGACTTGTACTTCGGTTCCTCGACTGGCGCGGGCAGCTGTTATTACGAAACGTAACGCGCGAACAATTATTTTTCGTACGAATTATCATGCGGTACGTAGACCTGGAAATTGCAGGGAGGCTCGCGACCGAGTCGAATACCGACAACGTTTGAACGTACGAGCGAATGTCGGGGTGCATTTTAGACGGCAATTTCGGGGACGAGCGACCCACGTCGCTACGGGAACGTTGCCGAAAATGAGGCGCTCGAACGGCGCACGGAGTCGACGGGGCTTCCGTCGAAGAGGAGAATCGAGAAAACTTTCAGTAGCTGTTAATCTCCGGGCAACGTTCAGTACCCTCGATTACCGCGTCGATTACCGCGTCGTGGCGTAGATGGCATACCAACGGAAATTCCTTTAACTAGTGCGAGATAGAAACTGTCGTCTTATCGGAACAATATCGCGCACATCACGTCTGAGGGTCAACGCGGTCCAACGCTCAGCTCGCCTCTAAGGGCCCAGTTTCGCTAACGTCGGTTAACTGTTAGCCAGTATCAGCCCACTTTCTATCTTTCTCTGTGTTATTATCTAAGAAGAGATGGAGAATCGATTAATCTCCGGTTAAAGCCAGCGCTACGCTATGCGCGATTCGTGATTCGCAGAAATTCTTTGGACATTCGTTATTACTTATTACCACACTATTCCTGATTCGCAGTTTATCATTCGTAATATGTTATTTGACGTTTCGTGTTAACTTCAACAATGTTTAACTTTTACCTGTCGTTACAGGACTTGCATCATAAGTCTACAATTAGTCTACAATTAGTCCAGTTTCAATATTAGTAAAAAAAACCAAGATTTTCGTCAAAAACCGATCGGCTAGCGAATCACCGCGAATGGCGAATTGCGCACGGCGAATCGACCAATTTTTCCTCAACACCCTGCCGAAAATAATTCTACAAAATTCCACAAAAAAATTAAATACAACTGCCAGAATCTAAAAAATTCTACGTAAATTTGAAAAGTGTTACAAAAAAATCAACATGAAAATGCTAGAATTGAAACACTTTTGTTAATTTTTGTAATATTCTACAAGTAAGTAGATGCTTTAATTCTTTAAGATTTTGTCGTTTCTCAAATTTTTAAAACTGGAAAAGTTTTGTACTAATTTTTACAAAATTGTACATTTTCGCGAAATACTACTTGCAATAATTTCTTGATTTGGGAACATTGTAATTTGTGGTGCTATTTCGTAGATATTTTTAGAGAAAAATAAATTTTGTTTTGACAGGTTGGAAAAAGACGGTATATGGATTCACTTATTGTTGGTAATTTAATTGGCTACCTCCACTTGTGCCAGGTCCTTGGGAGTGTAGCTCTAGCTTAATAGTTAACCGACGTTTGTGAAACTGGTCCTAAATGCGACAGCGCGTTTCGAGTTTAACGCCTTCTTCCGCCAAACGCTGTTCCCACAGGCGTTTAGGATAAAATTCCTCGATCGTTTCGTGCGGTAAAGCTTTTGCCTCGTCCTCGGTGCCATCGAACGTAGTCGCGCGCATGGTGTACCGCGATGAAATTTTACAAGCGTAAAGTGGCCGCGAGTCGTATTTTAGTTAGGTCCTGTTGACGGTCACCAACGGTGTCTCGCATGGCACAAACGGAAAGTTCAGGTCACCGATGTCCGCTGCGGCATGTGTGAACGTGTTAAACAAGTTTAACTCCCTCGTGCTCCTTTTTTGTAACGCGTTTCGTAACGCGCTTTTATACAAACGCGATATACGAGCTTTTTCTTCCTACAACACCTCCATGAGCGCGCGACGCGTCCCCTCTGGTCCAGCTTATTCCTCTTTTTATTTATATTTAATTGTGACGGACAACGAAACTATACGAAGCGTGCAAAGTGACGAGCAGCGAAACCGTGGCCGGCGCGCGGCCGGTTAATGAGCCAGTCGTAATTGTTTGAGTTTTCGATCGGCCGATACCCGTTTGTAGGCTGATCCGCTCGTGTAAGCACAGAGACAACACCAGTCGAGCGTAAGTACAGATTAGCGGTAACTCTCTCGGACGCACGGCGCGCCGTGGCGCGGAGCAATAGCCGTGTCCCATTCAGGTAAAGGCCAGTTTACACGCGGTTTCCTCACTCCCGTCTGCATTAAGCGCAGACGAGCCGGAATAAAGAGGAAGAGGAGTGGAACAAGTGGCCGGTACTCACAGTTTCTTTCGGGACGGCAGAGGAACGTTTATACGCTGAATCCGTTTCCTCGGCGGGAATAAAGTAGGCGGCGTAGACAACATCTTTATACTGTTATTGCGACAAATATTATCATATGCCTCGGTGGTCGAATTGATGAGACGCCTAGAGAGTAGGGAGGTCCAGGTTCAAACCCAGGCTGAGGTAATATTTTTCGCAAGAAATTCTCTGTATTATTAAAGATGCCAGGTATGGTCGAGGAAACACTGACGTTAATTACCGCTGGCGACATTGAAGAATTCTGATTAGTTAAATATTCAGATTCCAATGGACATCTAAAAATCTTGCAGAATTTCCGCATTGTACAAAATTTAATTGAAAACGAATTCCTTGACTTAGTTTAATAACTTCATTAGTAACGAAGTTAATATACATAAGATCAGACCGATATCGACGAACGTTTCGACCGTACTTACTGTTAATCTTCCTCAGCGTAGCTAAAAATAATATATCATAAATAATAGATTAGATATCCATTGGAATCTGAATATTTTAATAGTTTTTAACCTTCATTTGTTCGTTTTTTGCTATTTAATCGGTTTATCCCAGGGACATTTTTGCTCAGTGTAGGCAACAAAATTTTCCAGCCACGCGGCAATGTTTATTTTCCGACATTTCATTCATCACGGCCGCCCGAGGAAAATATATGGGCACAAGATATTGGTTAATGACGGCATTATTAAGCGTGGAGTAATTTTCGTAGTGAATCGATCGCAGCTCAATGGGCCTAAATGACCGTAGCGAACTGCCGCTATGCCCTAGAGAAACGTCTTAGTCTCTCGATGCCAGTCATCAATGCCAAGGCATGCGTCGCGATTGAGAGAATCGGCGAACGATCCGGGGGAGAGATGCGAGCGAGACGGAACGATAAGATGATTAATCCCTCTTCTATCGGCTGACACGGACCCAACACTCTCTAATGACACGGCCAATGTACTTTAAGTTCATTTCCCGTCCTCTCGCTCCTGGATGGAGTACCGTACAGCTCGTGATTAGTGACCGAACCCTTTTCGAATGTATTCAATCATACATATTACGTATAACTACAGTAATCACGCGGAGAGATGGCCGCTAAAGGAAACATCATATTCTCTTCGGGGCGCGGAGAACATTCTAATCTCATGGTATTAATACAGATCCGTATGCCTTTACGAAATAAACGTTGAAAAAAAGTCTGCCATTCACGCACGCAATTCGGCTTGAACGAAGTAATATAATTTTTTTTGCCGCACAATCGCGGGCAGATCGGTAAATAGAATAATTGCGGCGCTCCAAGTCTCCCGATTGGCCGCGATCTTCCCGGAAATTCTTGGCGTACACGCGGTCGTTTTTTGTACAGTGGCGACTAGCGGCGGAGCCGCGTAGGGTGGGCAAGGTAATCGATCGAAATTTCAATGAGCGGGCAAAGGCGGCCTCGTCAACGTAAACCTGTCATTAATGCTGGGCATGGAAGGGGGACCGGTCCATGCATCAATGTGTCCAAGTGTGATTACGGTCCTGTGGTAGCGAAAGCTGGGCGCTATCGTGAATGAAATCTTATTCTTATTATCGTGTGGGCAGGGTGCGGAGCACTCTCGGCGCATCCGATAGCCTCGTTGCCCCTCGCTACTTATACGGCGCGAATTTTTCAAGGGTGCGCCGTCTAATCGATTCAAAGTGATATACATATAATGGGAACCGGTCGAAATCGTTTTTCCATT